GAGAAATTATAAAAGGAAAACGGAACGTGGTCGGAGTAATATAAACAGTTACGAGTCGGCTTCGTTAGATGTTAAGTCTGGATCGTGTAGTTTAAGGCAAGCAGCTGAAAAATATGGCGTTAACCGGATGTCCTTACTTAGATATATAAAAAAAACAACAAACCAATCCAGATGGAGTGGTAGAAATGGGTTACAAAAGACCTCGAATGATATTTTCACAACAACAAGAAGAAGAGCTCTGTGAATATGCTGTTCAGGCAGCGAAAATATTTTATGGTATTAGCCCAAAAGAAATGAAAAGTTTAGCTCTTGAATTTGCTATAGCGAACAAAGTTCTTGTGCCTGAGAATTGGGTAGCAACAAAACACGCCAGTAATGATTGGTTTACAAAGTTCATGCAACGTAACAATAATGTGTCTATTCGTGTTCCTGAGGCTACCAGCTTAAGTCGGAGTACAAGTTTCAACAAGCACAATGTCGGACTCTTTTTTGATAACCTCGAATTAGTATTAAGTCAAAACCATTTTACAGCTAATGATATTTGGAATATAGACGAGACAGGGACTGGGACTGTCCAAAAACCGGTAAAAATCATAGCGAAGAAAGGCGAGAAAAGAGTTGGTGGTGTCACTTCAGCTGAGAGGGGGACCAATGTTACTATGGTTCTTGCTATTAACGCAGAGGGTAACTCAGTTCCTCCTATGTTCGTTTTTCCACGTAAGTTTTACAAGGAGCATTTTGTACGTGATGGGCCAGTAGGTTGTTGTGGTACTGCTAACCCAAGTGGCTGGATAACAGGCCCGGACTTTTTGTTTTTTATGAAGCATTTTGTAAAAAAAGTAAGGTGCTCAAAGAAATCACCGGTTTTAGTTCTGTTAGACAACCACAGTGCTCACCTATATATCGAAGTCCTTGACTATTGTACAGAGCACGGTATTACTCTCTTATCGTTCCCTCCCCATACAACAAATAGACTTCAACCACTGGATGTTTCCGTTTTTGGTCCATTTAAGAAGTTTTTAAACGACGCCATGTGTGGATGGATGAAATCTCATCCTGGAAACACAGTCTCAATTTATGACATCCCAAGTATAGTGAAAACAGCATTACCTAAAGCTGTAACACCAACAAATGTTCAGGCAGGATTTCGTTCTACAGGAATATGGGAATTCAATAGAAACATTTTTAATGAAGAAGACTTTCTGTGTTCTTCGGTGACCGACCGACCTTTGAATAGGCCTATTGACATCGTAGATGGTAATGAGGAAGCCAGTGCTGGGCAGCTTAAAGAGTTTCAGCATCTCGATGAACCTGAACCGTCGTCATATTATGCTAACCAGCCAGGACCCTCCCATACCTATCAACCAGGACCATATCAACAAGGATCATCGCAGGCCAACCTACCAGGATCATTCCATGCCGAAGTTCTGCCTGTCAGCCCTATGGATATAAGACCTCTGCCAAAAGCTGGTCCTCGAAAAAATAAAAAACGCAAGAGCTTAACATCTGCAATTTTGACTAGCACACCTGTCAAGGAGACAATTCGCAGTGAAGAGTTAAAGAGGAAGGAAACAATAAAGTGCAAAGAGGATAAAATAAAGAAAAAATTATTTGACTCAAAACAACTGTTGCCTAAGAAAAAAGCAGCGCCAAAGAAAGAGACCGCAACAAGAAAAAGAGAAGACAGCTCAGAAGAAGAGGAAGAAGATTACTTTTGCTTAGTTTGTATGGGACCATATAAAAAGTCTAGGTTAGGAGAAGACTGGGTGCAATGTATGGAATGCAAGAGGTGGGCTCATGTAAAGTGCACAAAAGATGATCTTTATTATGTTTGTATAAACTGCCACTCTTCAGAACTACAAGTAGAATCAGCACAAATTGACGATAGCGATTAAGTTTTTTATTTTACTTTAAATTCACTAGATGTTTTTCTACACATTTGTTTCTTACATAAACATTTATCAAACATTTATGTATCTATACTTAACTATAAAATAAATTTATTATGGAAACTTTGTTATTATTCTCCAACTAAAGTTTATTATATTTAAAAATATTTACTGTCACAACCTGCCCCAAGTTCGTCACAACTTACCCCATATTGGGGCAAATTGTGACAATATGTGCATTTTGTAAAACTATTTACATACTGTAAGGTATTGCTTAAAAATTGCTGATGTTCCCAAATAATGATTCCCAATTAAAAATAGTACCTCATTAAAGTAATCTAACAGCCCTAAAAATTACGAAAAAAATGTTAAAAATTATTTTGTCCAAAGTGGCACAACTAGCCCCAGTCTACCCTACTCTCTTTAAATCTGGAATTCTCACCATCATCTCTACAAAACGATTGGATTTCAAGTCAGGAAAGTCAGTTCTTTTTTGGGGCTCATAGACTCAGTCCTCAGTAAATATTGGAGCCCATTCTGCTGGGTTAGTTAGTTGCAGTTCCTTCTACAATCCGTGCGTTTTTATTTTGCCCAAAAGAATGCTAGTTAGGCATATTGAGTAATTGCTTTTAGAAAGGTTAGTTAGTTGCAGTTCCTTCTACATCCGTGCGTTTTATTTTTGCCCCAAAAAGAATGCCTAGTCTAGAGCATATATTAGAGTAATTGCTTTTAGTAAAGTGTATGCCTTACTTGTTTTTTCATCCGTTTTGCTAAACCCACATGACGTCTATTGAATATAGACGTCATATATTCATATTCTATGAATATGAACATAAGTTCTGTTAATGTTTCTGGATTTATTAAAAAAGCAATTTTTACTTCACTAATCATCAAATTAAATTCATCAGATTAAAGCAAAACATCAAGAAAAAGCTGTAGGCTAAAACTATTGCACGTATACCTATAACTTAAGGCAACAAAAGAAAAGCAGTAGATACAAAGTCTGAAGAATCGTAAGTGATAATGAAACAACTATCAAGTAACGTGAAAAGTGAGATGACTTGGATATATATGTAATATATATATATATATATATATATATAAATATATATATATATATATATATATATATATATATATATCGGAAAAAGGAGTACGACCGTCAATCCAATATATATATAAGGATCACTCAGACGAGTGGTGGGTTCTTATATCGGTCTCTAGGTGGAGAAATAAAAGACAAAGTTGATAGGCTACTTTATCTATTTTGAAGACGTTTCGCTTTCGAGTTTTGAAAGCATCATCAGTTCATCTAAAAAATTATTACAATATGAGAACCACACAATCATGGAAACGATGTTAATTGTTACCTTAAAAAGATATGTAGCAGTCAATGTTATTAACAAATATGTGAATGAAACTAAGTAAATGGACATAGTACGCTGATCTTGTATAAACAGTTAAGCAACTAACAACATATATGAACTTGTACAAAAATTAGCACAGCAATTGACCATGTGGTCCAAAATAAATTCAATGTTATTTATGTTAATAAGTGAGAAAGAACCAAGAAAATCATAAATAACCTCCAACTATTTAATGGATATTAAACTTTGATTTTAACTTTAGGTAGCATTATAAGTAATATTAATAAAATTCTACAAAATAGTGAATATGAAGTTACCGATCAAAGCCTTATGGATGTCGCCGTGAAAATGGCGTTAGATGAAACAGGAACGAACTAACCGCAAAAAGACAGCCAACCTTGAGGTCAAAATTACTTTTGACAGATCAACAAGGTGTAAATACCAACCCAGAATTTTGGGCGGTTAATTTAATTTTTTTATTTTATAACTGAGTCTGGATGACTACCAGGTTGTAAAGGACAACAACAGTGAAAAAAGTTGGTAGTGTACACACAACTCCCCTCACTAACCGGCCCAAATTTACAAACCGGAGATTTGCATTCAAACTCATAATAATGTAATGACGTTAATCATGTGGCAAGTTAAATAGTCAGGTGATTAACGATATTATAATTTCCATACAGCTCCAAGTATATTGAACCTTGGGCTGTATGGAAATTATAATATCGTTAATCACCTGACTATTTAACTTGCCACATGATTAACGTCATTACATTATTATGAGTTTGAATGCAAATCTCCGGTTTGTAAATTTGGGCCGGTTAGTGAGGGGAGTTGTGTGTACACTACCAACTTTTTTCACTGTTGTTGTCCTTTACAACCTGGTAGTCATCCAGACTCAGTTATAAAATAAAAAAATTAAATTAACCGCCCAAAATTCTGGGTTGGTATTTACACCTTGTTGATCTGTCAAAAGTAATTTTGACCTCAAGGTTGGCTGTCTTTTTGCGGTTAGTTCGTTCCTGTTTCATCTAACGCCATTTTCACGGCGACATCCATAAGGCTTTGATCGGTAACTTCATATTCACTATTTTGTAGAATTTTATTAATATTACTTATAATGCTACCTAAAGTTAAAATCAAAGTTTAATATCCATTAAATAGTTGGAGGTTATTTATGATTTTCTTGGTTCTTTCTCACTTATTAACATAAATAACATTGAATTTATTTTGGACCACATGGTCAATTGCTGTGCTAATTTTTGTACAAGTTCATATATGTTGTTAGTTGCTTAACTGTTTATACAAGATCAGCGTACTATGTCCATTTACTTAGTTTCATTCACATATTTGTTAATAACATTGACTGCTACATATCTTTTTAAGGTAACAATTAACATCGTTTCCATGATTGTGTGGTTCTCATATTGTAATAATTTTTTAGATGAACTGATGATGCTTTCAAAACTCGAAAGCGAAACGTCTTCAAAATAGATAAAGGAGCCTATCAACTTTGTCTTTTATTTCTCCACCTAGAGACCGATATAAGAACCCACCACTCGTCTGAGTGATCCTTATATATATATATATATATATATATATATATATATATATATATATATATATATAGTTGAATATGTAGCATCCTCTTTAAACCTTAAACGCACATCGGTGCAAATCAATCTAGAGAGCAGAATGTTCAGACATACAACCTGAGACATTTACCACTTCGTTCGCTATACAGATGCACACTGCTTCACCAGCTACTCTAAGAGGCACTCAGTCATACAATAAATCTGAGTCTTTCTCCATTCCGTCCACTACACCTACATCCGCTACTACTGCAGCTACACCAATTGAAATAGACACTGACAATCAATCATGCACAGGTGCAGAAGATAATACTGAGACATTAAATTTTACAGAAATGTTACTTACTCTCTAAAACAATGAATAAAAAGTTAAAAAAATATACTTACTTGGAATTTGTCTCTTAAACAGTCAATGAGAGTGTCACAAACTTCTGGCACAAATTTCGAAATACTTTGCTTAGAAAATTTAAAAAAATAGCTTAAACTTTGGTAGGAATGTCCAGTTACTAAGAATCTTATCGTAACTGTGAATCTTTCACTTACTGGAATAGCATCTCAAAACGTTGTGTTTTTCCTGCCCATTTTATGCCAATTTCGTTGATGAGAAATTCAAAATCAAAACTTACATTCTTAAGGAGGTCTTAAAACTGCCATCACATGTAATGTCTTCTGTCGATGAGTCTATGTCATTTCTTCAGCTAAAAGAGCTGTACCACTATATTTTTTTCGACCTACTATTAAAGGCCGCACACAAAATCTTCGTTTAACACGCCGATATCTCGGTATTTTCTTCTTCTTAGCGATCATTCTGGGATGACTTTGTTGGTTGCTCTATGGATTAGCTGTGTTGAGGTGTTTTTCTATACTATGCTCTCAGGTTAGCACGCCAGGATATATTTCTTCACCCTGGGGCCCTTTTTTCTTCAATTTTACCTTGCAAAATGCATTGTAATTAATCGTATTAGCCTCGATTTCTCATTATATGTCCCAAGTACTACAGCTTACGGCCTTTCAAGACGTGGACCAAATCCACTGTTGTGTTCATCCTCCGCAGTACGCCGGTATCGCCTGCACAAAATTACACAAACTGCTGCTGCTATGACGGCATCTGCTGCATATGATGTCAGATTATATACTGCCTAACTACCAGCTTTTCAGCTAAAATGCTCCAAAAGTTATCCGCATTGTGTTGTTTTATTTTGTGTTATATAGTCGGGGTATTTATGATATATTATAACAAGTTACAGAACAAAGTTGTACAATAAATTTGTTGTACGACAAATTTGTTGTACAACAAATTTGTTGTACAACAAATATGTTGTACAGAAAATTTGTTGTACAACTTTGTAATTAACATGTTTTTTTACATAGTGTGGACCCGACCCGGTTTGGGAGGTTCATTTTATACTCATCGAGAATAATTTCATCGTTCGAGTAATTCATCGTTCAAAAATTTGTGATTACAGGAAACTATCGTTTTTAAAACATTATTTATTTAGGTATTTGGAGGAACCACACAATCTTCATTAACCAGAAAATTAAATCTAAACTTGATATTATGCATTTTCATTTTCTAATATTTATAACCGTTTAGTAGTGATCCTGCTTAAAAAATGACGTGCTATAATGTTCATCCTTGCAAGACAAACCTCTTACCTCCTTATTTCTTTGAGTTCCATCTCTGTATAATATTAGTTAACGGTAAAATAATACAAAGTAATTGGTTTGTATTTTTTATTGATTCTTAGTCATTTGCACGTGACCTACAGGTTATAAAGGATTATTGGAATATATTTTAACTTGACTAATGAAGCCTTAGTTTCGGGTTGCGAGATTTATGCATGTTAACACTTCTATTATCAGATTAGAAAAAATCGACAATCATCAACGATCAGCGATCACGGTGAGATACACGCTGCGAACGAAATTACAGATACCACTGAGGATTTAAATTCAATCACATATCGAATCGAAAAATCATTTCCAATCGCTTCTAACTCGAATCAATCGCATGCTTGGCGATAGTTGTATGTTACATCACAGGTTAATTTATTTGTTTAATGAAAGCATGAATCACTTTTATTAAAAACTAAGGTCAATGAGGAAAATTCAGCATAATGTGAAAAATGTGAAAATTATATGGATTTGAACAAGACTAAAATGCCATTAAAAATAGTTGCAGAAGAGACTGGAAAAAAATTTTGATAACTTTTTAATTTATTTACAATTATCTGTGGGAGATAATTTAAACAAGAAGCCAATCTTTTATTATTAGTTTAGGTACATAAATAAGGATTCTTGTATTACTAGTTTGTTTCAATGAATGACATCCTCACAAAAAAAGTTATCTACTTGATATCACCAACATGTGGAGATGTAGGTATGTTTTATTGATCTATTTCAATTAATTATCCGTGGATGGCAGAGCACGGGAATTTTATAATATTATTTGAATCAGTGAAATGTAAAAGGATAAAATTCCAAAAACTTTACTTTTGGAAAATTAAAATAAACGTTTTATGTTTGAGATTTTGTTCCAGTAAGCCTTCCCCAGAGATGTAACAAGTTTCAAAGTTAAGTCATTGTACAAAAAAAAATTTAAGGTAACTTTTAATATATTAATCTTTCCAAGTTATAAAGACATTTTTAATAATTGCTTTCATTCAAATAAAAGAATTTGTTTATTAATTAAAGTTTTATATTTATGTTGTTGTAGATAAAAATTTCATAATTTAAACTGTCTTAAATTGTTATGTTGACAGATGACATTTTGCTTTAATCCATTGTTGTTATAAGACAATTTTAATTTGATTATTTTATATGAAAGATATTCCATATATAAGGTTAAATTCAATATGTAATATTTTTCATAAAAAGGATATCCATAAAATTTTGATAATCTAATTGGCCATATTATAACATAGAAACCATTTGAATTTTTGTAGCAATATTTGATGTAAACAAAGACATGTAAGTTTTGTTTATTTTGTATTATGATATATATAGTATGTTTCTTTTGTAGTCTATATTTTTGATAACTGTTTGTTTGAGACTAAAATAAACGTTCGATTTGTTTCTCTGATCCATTTTGTGTTTTAATTTAGAAGAGTCTCCTAATCCTTGTATGTATTTTAGATTTTAGGGAAGAAGAATTTTTTTCTTTCTCCTAGCAGGAAGTTTTCTTCGAAGCGGCGTCCAAGAAAAGAAAAATAGCTAGAGGTAAATTTATCTGCCATATCTTATTCGTTTTTTTTTTGACCCAGGAGATTTATGTAAGTATCCTTTTGTTTTCATTTTGTAGATACCCCAATCCAACCCCATATCTTCAACTTATCCACGACCCAGCTCTCCAACAACCAACTGAGTGCCGTACGCACTTGTTTCGATTTATTTTGGTTGCCCAATCTTCTACCCCATGTTCTTACCCTGAGGTAAGCAAAATATAGTCGTTACAATAAGATAAAACAAAAAAGAAATTGTTGTTGTAACTCAAGGACAGGCAAATATTTTCTGCCATGTTTTGCTATAGTAAACAGCTTACACTCATCATATTGTCTACCAAAAACTAAAAAAAAGTTGTTATAATGCTATCAACAAGATTTATTAGTACTATTCTATTCCATCCAAACTAAAAATAATCGCTATTTCTCCCTTTTTTCGATCTCTATTACTTCGATCTATATAAAAGTATGCAAGAAGTTACTACTTGCATAAAATATTAAAAATATGCTCTATGCATATTTGCATAAGTTTATTAACGAACAGTAATTATTTTCTATATAATTTTGGATAATAAAGTTCTCCCTGTATGTCCATTCATATTAATACACATAATTTACAGGTGAATATGAGGTCAATGGAAAGAGACTAAAATATCATAAATAAGATTTATAAGTGACTTTTTACACGTATATTAACATTTAATAATTGCATCATATTTCTCTATTGTGACCTGACAAGATTATGGAGAAATAAGGCTCTAGGCTACAATGCGAAAAAACACCATAGGATCGCCGGCGTATTACGCAGCGGGGATGCCCATTTAGGGTAAGAAGTTTACCTACAACAACGTTCAGGACCGGCGGAAGCCTATAAATATATGTAAACTATTAATTAAACCAAATTATTCAATATGTGAGCTACAGAGTACATTATATTCTAATCAAACATTTTTATAAAACTAAGAACCCTTTTGATTATCTTAACCCTAGAAAGGTAGACTATTATTTACTGACAGTTATGGTGGACTATCGTAATTTTTATGACATCTAACAAAAAATTGAAAAAAAAATATAAATGTAATTATAAACACTTTTATTACAAAAAATTAGAAAAAATGTAAGTCTTAGTAAGTGGTACACATATAAATAAAGTCGATGTACACTACTCGTTTGCAAACATTGTACATATATTACCTCGGTGTTCGCCACATATAGCGTGATGGCATTGGTTGCGATATGTGGTAGTCATGCGCCTCTTTTTACTCGGACAATGGAAACATGCCTTGCGTTTCTTTTTTTCAGGTAACGGACGTTCAACTTCTTCGGAAATTTTGAGGACATCTTTAATATTTTGCTTAAGATTTCGACGTAAAATTGGAATACACAATCGTTCTCTCAGCCAGGGTTCAGCGAGATCACGAGCCAATTCGACCATATATTCGTATCTGGATAAAACTTTTCTGTTTGCTTGTAATGTGTTTGTGGTGTAAATAACATACGAGTTAATACTTGCAATATTTATCATATTATAGAAGATACACAAAGGCCATCTCCTCGTTTTACGACCCGCATTCATATTCGAACACATTTGATCAAATGTATACACCCCGCCTTTTGTTCGATTATAATCAGTTATTATAGTGGGTTTGCCATTTATTTTGGAAACATCAGCACCTTCGTGAAGTGTTGAAAGAAGTAAAACTACCTTATTTTTCTTTGGCATATATGATACCAATGTCTTTCTTTTATCAAAACAAAACATAGATGTATTGGGGACTCTGTTCTTTACATTGAACAATTTCTGTGGAATTTCTCTTTTATTTTTGCGATAATTGTCAGTTTGTACTGATCTTTTAATAACTCCTCTGCTAAGCTAACTGTTATAAACCAGTTGTCCATGGTAATATTTCTGTTACTACCATGAACTGATTTTGTAAGTTCCTTTACAAAATATGTACCCGACGGCAAACCATTTGTATTGGTTTTCTTGCCTAAATAAGGAATAGCATCGATCCTATATTTCGAAGAGCTGTCACACATCATTACGATTTTGAGACCATACGAATTAGGTTTATCAGGTAAATACATTCGAAAAGGGCAACGTCCTCGAAATCCTACTAACTGTTTATCAA